TGATGCTGCACTGTCTGAGAGCGACTTGCCAGCCTGCTCGATGCTTTCTCTTTCTGCCGTTTTGTGTTTTGATCATCCGCTTGAATTTATTTCTCACATTGTTGGAATATTTCACAAAAAGTGCAGTTCGCGCGATAATACATAACGGTTTCATGAACGTGCCGGTGTAGGATAGCATTTGGTGTCCTTGAACTGATAACAATGCGATTTGATGACAAATAAATCCACAAAAGTATAAATACTATTTTCGAGATAAATGGCACGACCGAATTCAAAGGCCCCGCTTTAAATATTTATTTTCCCGTCGAACAATGATATCAGCTAAACTATGTCAAAAAGTGATGTAAACACCCGGCTTACGAAAACTGGTCACGGAATGCAATGAAAAGAGAGTAACGTACTGATAGATCGTGTAGTGAAGTAGAGCATCTCGCTCAAAGCACCCGTAGTCCGACGCAGTGGATATCGTACTTCTATGTATAGAGCATAGCGCACTGCTGGAAGCAGGTTGCCCAATCGAATTTGACACGTATTGGAGAACGTTGAATCTGAAGCAGCACATGTGACTGGTAGCGTGGTCCATCTGAACGGAATCGAAATAGATGAACGGGGCGTGTATGGTCACTGTGACCGGCGCTTGCGTCCAGGTTGATGATAAAAAGTAACATGGTTAGGCATACGTTAGTTAATTAGAGGCGAATCTCTTCTCGGAAAGTGTACCTTCTAGTGTTTTCTGTCTGCTCATTACCATCCCGTTGGATAAGTTCTCTGCTGTTACATTGTTGGTGACCAGATTGCAACGCGTGACTAGTTGACGTTCTACCCTGCAGATAGTCACTGATGTACACTCGCCCTCCATCCGCGCAGATATCTGCCACTCGTTAATTGTGGAAACTCAGTCGATAAGCCGATCTCCGGTTGGCGTGTGCAATCGAGCGGGTCAGTAGTTGCAGTCTACACACCATCCGAAGAACAAAGTTATCGCCGGAACATTTGCGAAATGTTCAGACGGAAAAAAAAACAAATTGGACGCAACTCGTCCGGGAATCGATCAGTGTCGGATTTCTGAATTCTTAGCAGTTGTGTTCCAAACCGCTCTTTATTCTAAACACATCAGAGGGGGTGGGGGTGACGTGAGTAAAGAAAACTGAACAACTTGTAACGTCAAATAATCAAATTTCCCTTAATTTCATTACTTACGTTGATATCCGGCCCCGACTTCATGTGACGTCTAGTGTTTTACATTTTAGTAACGAGTACTGAATAGACAAATAAACGAGCGATTTTCCGGCAGGAGGAAGCAGTTAATCCAAAGTCTTTCAGTGGATATATGAGCAATTAGGAAAGTCAAGCGTCCATGGTACTATTGGAACGCATGACCTATGGTGACGTGATGACGACCTACTCCGATCGATCACCGTCATTGATTACGCACACTAGAGCCTCGAAAAGAATACACAGGGATAATCGTTCTCAACGTACCCGGACAAATAACTTCCAATATGAAATTTTTCAATCTGCTCCGAAATTGTGGAAGCCGCGAATCTAAGGCAGTCACTCTAGCAGCTGAACAACAATGCGCTCTTGAAGAACCACTGATAGGAATTAGATTTTTAGGATCATGAGAATTTTCGCAAACAACAATCGCAGGATAAGCGATGAGAAGAATGGTAATGGAAAAACATTGAATGAACCGTCAGTTGCTTGGTTTATGAGCCCATATTCGATGAAATGTATGCGATAATTTTTTTTAGGAATTTTGTGTTTGGATGAGCAAATTCGCATCCACAGGGCCCAAGAGTTGTTTAGGAAATAATGGCGAGATCCACTCCTCTCTCTCTCTCTCGCACACACACACGCACACGGGGAAAGCTTTGTATTTGTGATACTTTGTAAGTATAGCTAACGAGCCGCAAACAGGAGCAAGAGGTATCAATAATTGTTTGAGGCTTATCATTCGGGGATGTGATCCTACTGTTCTCTGTTTTCACCATTTTTTTTATCTAATCTCACTGTGTCCCTCCATAACATCATTGTCATTGTTTTGCATTGGCACCATGCTTGTTCTCAAGTCGGTGATGTAAACTAGAACTGAGTCTTAATTGTGTTTGTTTCATGCAAGGCATAGCAATGCACAGCAAACAAACCACCTGAACTATAACGTTCATTCTGGTTTTCTGCATAAAAAGCGTAATCCGTTTGCAGATAAAACGGAATAGTCAAACGATAAGTTTAAATCAATCTGAACATTTGTGTCCATGACAATCAGTTAGCTGCTTACGTTTTCGAAACCGGTGAAATCACATCGACGTCGACGAACAACTGTCCATCCGACTAGCTTCTGCATCGACATCACATTAAATGGGACAATTTGAACTCAAACTTTGACGGGAACGGCTAAGTAAAGTGTACGAATCAGGACCCCAAAAAAAACAGCAATACCGCGGTCTGTTACACTCACTCAGTCAGAGCAGAACGCCCAGGCTCCGGTGTCACTGTTATCCCAGACGGTCTGAAAGAAAAATTGAT